GGACAGAGATAAAGAGGGTGATGACGACTTGGCTGTTTGGAAGCGCTGGCGGCTCTCAACTCCGATCTACGCCATGAAAATGTACTGGTGGATACACCTTTGATAACAAGTACGTGTGTCTCTTGTGGACATGTGTTCGGCAACTGGTGCACAGATTTGTCGCGACAATCGCATGTTCTGTAATACGCTCCTGCCCGCCACAATGCGTGCGACCTTAGACCGTCGCGATAGATACTTTGCTCTACACGTGATGGTGACGCTACACCGCGTGCCAGGCACAGTGAACATGCAAAAGCTCACGGCACTGCGTCCGCGTTCATAGACATACCACGCATCATGGCCATAAACTCTTTGAAGTCGATCGCACCGTCACCGTTCGCGTCCACTTCCTTCAGCACATCGGCCGTCGCATGTATGTCCACCACACTATCCATTTTGCCACTATTCATGACCATCCTCAGCTCATGCGGGGTGATCTTACCATCGCTGTTCAAGTCGAAGACCCGGAAAGCAGTCCAACAGACGTCCTCCTGAATATACTGCCTCTTCTCGATGGTGGCGGCCAAGAACTCTGTGTAATCGATCACGCCACTGCCATCTGCATCAATACCTTCCATTATCTCCTTCAAATCTTGCGGCAGCTGCGTGAGGCCCGCTTGAGAGAGCCCTTCCTTCAGCTCGGAAAGAGTAAGCAGTCCATCCCCGTTGCTATCAAGCGACAGGAAGGTCTCCCGGAGGCTCTTGATCTGAACTTCGTTCAGCTGGGAGGCAATCACGTGCAGAACAGCCTTCGCAAACTTGCTACGACACCGGAACCTGCGCAGCTTGGGAACGAAGTTGCTGGGCAGGGATACGTTGGAGGCTTGAGGCGCGCAGTTCCGGATCCAGGAGTGGTTCAAAGCCTGCTCTGCGTCGAGGCGGTCCTCGGGGTCCATCTTCACCAGCATGCGGACGAGCTCCTTCGCATCCTCGGAGATGCCGCTCCAGTCCCGCGATCTGAAATTCAGATGTCCCTGCTTCACCTTTGCGAGTACCTCCTGGTCCGTCTGCCCGAAAAACGGCGGCACCCCAGAGAGCAGGACGTACATGATCACGCCAGCAGACCACAGATCGCAGAGGTGGTTGTACCTTCCAGCGAGCACCTGCGGCGCGACGTAGTACGGGGTCCCCGCCCTGCTGGACATCAGCCCGCCGTCGGTGAACTTGCTGGAGAGGCCGAAGTCGATGAGCTTCAGGACGTTGCTCGCCATCGGGTCCTTGCTCTGGAACAGAAAAGCCGCCCCCACGCTAGGCCGCGGCTGATTGTGTCGGGCCTGCTCTCTTGGATCCACTGCACGTGAGGCAGAAATTGAGTCCCCATCTCACTGGGGCCGACACGCGAGCCCTTAGCTGCTCGGCGCCTGAAGTAAAAGTGTTAACCAGTGTGGACCCCAAAACATCAGGCTCTTGGACTGTCAGCGTGCAGACATATACTGCATATAGATATGTGTGGCGCACAAGTATGAATAACAATATATACATGTACGTAAATACATAGCATATATATATATATACATATAAATGTATGTATGCGTCTATATTTGCATACATGCACATGCGGTACCACCAACGTATCGCGCAATCTACGTGACGCAATTCACATTGCTGGCATCCGCGCGTGGCCAATTCCGATGCTCGTAGAAACATCCCACCCACCCACCCGCAAAATTCAACTGGCGTAATGACGCGAGGACCTTTCCCATGCAGATCCATAATTCGGGCAGGCGAATGCTCATGACGATGCTGATGATGATGATTAGTATTAGTATGATGATGCTGATGATGCTGATGATGATGATGGTGATGATGGCACTGACGAGGAGGGCGACGAATTCGAAGATGGGGATGATGATGTTGCTAATGACGGTGGGATGATGGTGACGTTGGTGATGGTGATGAAGATGATGGTGATGACGGTGGCAATGATGACGCTGGCGATGATGATAACTGTTGTGAGGGTGACGACAACGACGATGACGATGAAGATGACGATGTTGACGATGACGGTGGGGATGCTGACGACGACAGTGGTGATGGTGATGATGATGATGGTGATGACGGTGGCAATGATGGCGTTGGCGATGATGATGATGCTGGCGCTGATGAGGATGATAAGAAAGTGTGTGCGCGGAAACTCTGAAACTACGCCAGGCTGTTCTGTTGCAAAACAACTGCGTGTTCGTATGTGTTTGAACACCTCTGTGCTGAAATGTCAGGGAACAAGTGTTGGAACGATTCCAGCGTGCGTGTGTGGAGATTCGCGCGCGTGGCCCGCATGGTATGGTTTGACAGAGGTGGCGGGAGCGCGATGGCTGCTGCATGTTTCCGACATCCCTGCGCGTGTGGCCCACAGGATCTCATCAGGCAGAATGGCAAACAAAAAACGGCTGTATTGCGGTTTCAGCGAGTGTGCGCGCGCAGAAGTCTGACAACTTTTTTTCCGGACGCTATAAGCATGCTTACAGAATATCCGCAGCCGTGCCCTGAGGCGCCCAAAATGGGGCAAGCCCCGAAATGGGGCAAGAGAGCCCCAAGAGGCCCCCAAAGACGGTCCGACACGGCCCAGGATCGCCGAACGATCGGTCCAACTCGCCCAAGGCGGCCTCCAGCCGGCAGAAGAGGCGCCCAAGACGCCCCAGGAAGCTTGCAGGAGCACCCCCAAAAAGGGCCCCAAGAGGCAAAACCGTCCCATTCCTGTTTTACAGAAACGCGGCACGTTTCTTGGGTATAAAGCGTTTCAGCCTACACAGTGTCCGAGACGGCCCAAGAAACCCCCAAGATCGCCCCAACACGGTCCAAGAGGCCAGAGTGCCCCAAAGCGACCGAAGAGGGCCCCAAGACGGCCCATCAGGCGCACAAGACGGCCCAAGAGAGCCCCAAGACGGCCCCAAGAAGGGCCCAAGAGGGGGAGACCGAACCGACAATTCGAGCCTTCCGCCAGGAGGCCCCACGAGACCCCAAAGAGACCCCAAGAGGTCCCCAAGACGCCCCCAAGACGCCCCAAGAGGCCCCTTCATAGGGGCTTCAAAACTGCCTCCAAGAGGCCCCCGAGAGGCCTCCCACGACATCCCAACGAACTTTCAAGAGACCTACGACCCACGACCTAGACACTGGTGGGATGGGCCAGAGGCCGCGAGATAGTTGTATGCTTCTAGCTGGTGGTCCAACCAAAGTGTTTGCATGAGTGTGTCATGCGCGCGTGGGCGCGCGCGCATTTGGCCCGCATGGGATACTTCGATAGGGATCCTGACAGAACGCAAGTGTCAGATCAACACCTGCGCCCCGCATACTATGATCGGACAGGGTGAGGAGGGAGAGGTGGCAGATTCTCGTGCGGAACAGGCACGACGACACAGTACGCGGAGGGGAAGCGATAACTCTGGTTTCGGCAGGGGGGGTATACTTCAACGCCCCCAAACAGTGCTTGCGCTCAGGGGTTCTCATCTGGCCTTCTTGGGCACGTATAGGGGCCTCCCAGGTGGTCATCACGTTGGCGCCCGTGCTGGCTCGTGGGCGCCTCGTGGGCGCCCCGAGCCCTGGTTAGGCTTCCCGAGGCTTCGCCTCGCTGGCGCGCCTGACCTCTTGCAGGGCGCCCCGTCGGCGCCCCCATGTGCGCTCTTGCCTCGCTGGCGCCCGTGGGCGCCCCCCGTGCGCTGGATGTGTTGTCCGCCGCGCCAGGTGCGCTGGGTGGCGCCCGTGCCCGCTTGTAGGCGCCCCGTCGGCACCCCGTGCGCGTACAGCACATAGCTTGCAGTGCACAGCCTACGCCACAGTAGCGTGCACCACATAGCTTGCGGCGCACGGCTCACACCCCACACAGTTCACGCCACACACGAGTAGCGATACGGCGCAGCTTACACCACATAGCTTACACAGCTTAGCTTCTACCACACAGCTCATACAATGTGTATGCGCACACGTGAATACACATGTGTGTATGTGTAGGTATGTAAATGTATGTAATGCATAGCGAAACTTACACCATATGGACCACACCCTAAAACTAGAACAACAGCTATTGCACCCCATAGCGTGCACAGCATAAGTAACACAACGTAGCTCACACCACATAGTCGCACCAGCCCTCTGGGCGTAGGTGGTTTGACGAAGTGTGTCTGCTCTCTTTCCACAACCCCTCCTTCCCATGCTCGGGGGGGGGGGGGGTACCCCTCTCCCTCCCCCTCCCCCTCCCCTGGGCCCAGGAGGGGGGGCGGGGGGAGCGCGAGGCATAGAGCGCCCAAGATGGCCCAACATGGCTGCAAGAGGGCCTCAGAAAGCCCGAAGTGGCCTCCAAGATAACCCAAGATAGCTGAGGATAGCTCAAGATAGCCTCCCACGTACATCGAAGACGCCCCAGGACGACGGTTGGTTTCAAGTGCCCTCCGAGCCCTCCAAGGACCCTCCCCCAAGAGGCCAAAATGGCTTCAAAACCAAAAGAAAATCAATGAGTTTTGCATTATCGCCTTTTCGCTTCCGATGGGCTTAGGAGGACTCATGATGGCCCCAAGACGGCCCAGAAGAGCCCTAAGAGGGGCCCAAAAGGGCCCCAAGAGGGCCCCAAGAGCGCCCAAGAGCACGCCAAAAGCGCCCCAAGAAGGCCCCAAGGGGTAAATTTTGAGCCTCCAGGGGCCAAGACTACCCAAAGAGACCTCTCAGACCCGCCCAAAGGGCCCAAAGAGGGCCCCAAGATGGCCCCAAAAGAGCCCCAAGAGGGCCCCCACAGGGCCCAAGAGGACATCAAGAGAGCCGCAAGATGGCTCCAACAGACCCCCGAGAACCTGTCACAACAACGCTTCAACTCACCTGGCAAACTGTTTCGGAATGGGCTGTTGGGAATACTTTTTTGGTCGCGGCCGCGAGACGACGGTCAGGCGGCAAGGGCAACGTCCGGACCACGGGCCAAGCTAATTGCTAAACAGAGGCGCCGGCCGGCCCCCTCAGACGGCGGCTGCAGGCTGGGTGACGCTGAACTGGCTGGCGTACTGCAAGCTCGGGCACGCGCACTGGACAAAAATGACCAGAATTCAAATGGCCATCGCAGGAATCGCGCAGGACCCGCGGACCTCGATGGGCAGGAAGTGAATCGCCGATGAGGCGCCAGACTCCAAACGGACGACCTGCGTAAGCCAGGCCGGCTGAGCAGTCGTGAACCGTGGTGCAGCGCACTGGGGGGGTTGAAGGTGGGCCTGAGAGGCTGCCATGACGCTCAAGGCTGAACCACTCAGCACACTGGCCAGTCCCACTTGGACCGCATCACAGTGTCGGGGGGTACCGTGCGACTGCGACCCATCCAGCTCGCGCCGGCACGGCGCGGCCACTGGGAGAGGGAGAGCCCGCAGGCGTGGTGAGCATCGCCGGCGAGGGAAGAGATGGAGTGCACTGGAGTGGAGGTACCACGATGCGAGCCGGGCCCGGTCTGATGGGTCTCCTGGAGCACACGTTGAGCAATACCTCGAGGGGCACGCGGTGTAGGCACGGGCGACGCGTTGCAGTCGCAAGGCCGTGTGCCGAGAGGCTGCAACGTGAGAAGCAAAAGGGCCGCCAGCTGCCAGCCCGGCCACGCCCGCCGCAGGCACGTGCCTCCCGGGCCCTGAGCCCGCCACCGTGAGCCACGTGGTCCTCCAGGGTCGCAACGAACCGCCGCAGGGGGGGGAACCAGCCCCAAACAGCGATGGGCGAGGGCGGCCCTGGGAGGGGGGCGCCACCCCAACGTCTTGCCAGAACGTCGGTGGCCCCCGTCGCCCAGAGCGGGGGACACCCGTCTGGCTCCAGCAGAGGGAGGCGGGGGGAAAGCCGCCTCTCCCCTTGCTCGGGTCCTCCCACACTTGGGACGGGAAAAGTGGTTGGTCCAGGGGGTCGCAGCTGATCGCCGCTCAGGTCCGTGAAGATGGGCGCGCCCTTGAAAGTTGATCCTCGGGGGTCGCAGCTGGTCGCCGCTAGAGTCGATGTTGCCAAAACTGCGACCTGCACAGGTCGATCCGCAGGCGCATGGGGGAGGGTGTTCCCGTGGCCGCCCCCTCACCACCAGCGGATGGGTGGCTGTCGTCGTCGGACAGCAAAGTGGGTCTGCCCGCGACCTGTCTGTCCTGCGGGCGGATCCCCTGTCGCTCAGGGGGGCGAAATGTCGGGAGCTGGGGGGGGGGCCCCGCTGGGCCCGAAAATAAATGTTATTATAACGCTCTTTTGTACTGCTTGTTCCCCTCCCCTCGTGCCGTCCTCTTCTGTGTCTTCTCTCGGCTTTGCCGTCCTCAAGATTTCGGCTCTAGAAGCTTGGGGCCCCA